AAAAAATATATTTATAATATAAAAATTATTAAAAATTAAAAATAAAAATTAAACCTACATATACAGATATATATATATATAAAAAAATAGAAAAATAAAATTAAAACGAAAACTGAAAATATGAAATAAAAGCTAAATACTCTAGCAAATAAATAATACTAAAACAACACTTTCTAGGCAGCATAATGCCATTTGAGTTAATATTTCTCCAAGTAAATAATCCCTTTCTGATCTCTTTACTCTTATTTACTTTCGCATGACAGGAGTTAAAGTATTGCGTATAACTTTGTCTTTGCACAAACAAGGATAGTAAGTGATTATTTCCCACTAATTTCATATTACACAGAGTGTTAAATATTGTGGCTATATTTGAGCTTTTTGCCTACACTTTTGGTTATATATATGATTAAACACTTTTTAAATGTATTAAATGTAAAAGGAAGGTATTTGCTCATAGTAACAAATCAAATGTGTTGTCTCTGTGTTAATTGACAAAGATGCTGTTGATAAAACGTACCTTGTTTTCTGTAGCTCACCGGCGCTAACAGCATCCGCTCAATTCTCAAGAACGCACTAAATACATCTGCTAAATGTGAATGAAAACATGCATTTATATTCATTCAAATATTTCACTTAAAAATCACCGGCGCAAACAGAATACTAAAGTTCTGCTTTCATAATAAGAGAAGCGATTCTCTACCCTGACATCCTACCCTGACAGTGATGGGAAGAGAATAGCTGTCTCCTGTGCTCTCAGGCCCATCAAACCTCCACGCTACAGACCGAACGCATTACCATGAAGACTGCAGACATCCACTGCAACCTAACAAGGTCTGGGGGCAAGTTATTCCTGGCAGTTTCTCAAAAACTAACCTCATTAAAAGAGACAAAACACACCTGTTCCTCTCGGACAGGGCTGGAATAGAGCCATAAGGAGCCCTGGAAGAAAAGAGTATCACCTCCACAGCTGTAGAGCTTCATAACTCGCTTTAGCTCTGCTGTTATTATTGGAGCATCTGAAAGGAGAGCAGGATGCAGGATAACAGGGTTTTACAATAGCCACCGGCTGCAGGAGGGTTTGACTGAGACACTGTAATGATAGACGTCATGCTGCTCCTCCACAATTACCAGCCAAATATGGCAGATCAATCTCTCCGCCGTGGACAAGACGGCCCAGATTCATCTGACGGGAAGACATGAGCACAGAAATCTGTCACAGAACAAAGGGCATCAATGAAAAGAGTCTGCATCCCACGAAACCTATCAGGAACATTTCATATTAATCATATTTTATCATTATTTCTAGTTATTTTCTACAAAATAGGCAAAAAGATTCCTAACTTTTAATTTGAAATGATTTTTTATTTAGTTTAATAAACCAATTTTTTAAATAATTTATATTTAAGCTTATTTTAACTTTTATTTTCACTTTAAAAAGTGATATAGTCAGTAATTTTTTAAGTAAAATATAAGTTTTTATTTTTTTTTATATAATAATTTTTTATGTAAATTGTATGAGATTAAACTTTTTTAGAGTCAGTTTAAAGTTGATAATACTTAAAAATTTAAGGCAGCAACTGAACTTAAGTTTAAGTTAAAATAGATCTATATAAAATAGATTCTAACCATTTTCATAAAAAATTATGTAGAGCTCAAACACTTTAAAATATTTGTCAAAATGATTATAAATTACTACATATGCCATTAAAATTTATTTTATTAATTCATCAAAAAGTGTGGGAAACCTGTTGTTTCCACTTCTGTCTTAAAATGATTTTATTAAAAATATCAAATATATTTTTTTGGTAGGAATTTAATTCATTCTTTGCGTATTTAAAATATGTTTGGCAGTTACTTGAAATAAAAATATCCTATGTAAGGTACAATTTTATCCAATCGATTTTTATTGAAAATGTTGTCTTATGTCACGGGAAAATATGTCGTCATAGTCATATTTTAAAAATAAATATGTGATGTTTTGCATAATTAAAATGAAGAATAAATTATTTGTAGCTTGATTTTAAATCAAAATGAATAATAATAAAAAAAAACTGTTTATCTGAGCATGTTGATCAGACTGACACAGAAACATTGGCTCAACCAATGGTGTGAGTTTGGGGCGGGACTATTTGTTTGTTCAACCAATGGCAGGTGGGGAAGTCTAGGAAATTCTTATTTTAAAAATTCCATTAAACAAATAAGAATTTTAAATTCCAATTATTTACTAAATTTACTAAAAATTTCTGAAAATTTGTTTCTATGCCAATTTTGTTCAGTTCAATGGCAAATTAGTTTTTATGCCGATTTATGCAAATTTAGGCTTAAATTAAATAAAAAGATCATTGTATTGCATTATTTGTACAGTAATGCAGTAATGAAAATCACTAAAAAAACAGGAATAAAAGAAACAGAAAAGTAAGACAATGTACATATTAAAATAATGAAAATTTGTAGGGGAAATGTGCTTAAAAAAAGAACATTATTTTGTGTATTTGGTGTAATGAAATGTGTTTATGCGGTTTAAAGTTAAAAAAACACATTATTTTCCACATACTGTACATTATTGTGTCTCCTCTATGCCCCGCCTTTTTGAAACGCGTCGATTTTTACAAAGCTCATCGTTCTGAAAAAGCGAGGTGTGCTCTGATTGGCCAGCTATCCAGTGCGTTGTGATTGGCCGAATACCTCAAGCGTGTGACGGAAATGTTACGCCCCTACCATACTGTGATGCCCTGTCCCGGCCGGAAAAAATGAAATTGCATCATATGACCCCTTTAATGGCCATAAATAATGTCACAATGCAAAACATCTCAATGCTCCTAAAACAGACCGTAATTTTTATGCAAAATCTCTTTTTTGGGGTTGTTTTGGGGCTAGCTGTGACCCAGACATGTTTTTTTGTGAGATTTGCCCATTTTAGCAAGATTTGCAAATCTTCAAAGCTTTCCAGAATGATTTTTTTCCACATGCGCGATTGAGATAAAACACAAATTTTGGGAGTCTGATTACACCGCAACAAATCAAAGCGTGGTGTTTCTGCTGAAACATTTTCATATGTAAATCGCCCGAACACAAATGTTCCTGTCTGTCACTATCTTCCCACAAAGTGTCCCAAAAATAGCAGATTGCTCCGTTTCTGACACCTCAAATATACCAGATACATTTGAAAAACCAAAGAGCACCTCATCCAAGCTTGTGGCAGGGGAGTCCGCCATGTTTGGCGTAAGATCTCATCTGGGCCTGTTCAATGTGAAGCCTGACAGCTCATGCTTTTATGTGGATAAACAATTCCTCAAACACATCCCGGTACGGATGTGAGCCGCTGGCCTTGAATAATGCAAGGGAAAGAGTGTGACAGCTTAGAACAACATAGGAAATCTTTGTTGGAGACTTTAGTCTTATTATCTTTCTGAACACACAAAAGACGGTTCATGATTAGCACACGCTACAAAAGAAATGCACGCAACCACACTGGCACTTTCATATATCAGTTTGCCGTTCTTCTAGCAAACGTGTTGTGTTTATTAAAGAGACATTTTGTTTCGGTTATATAAAAACGTTTAGAAACCGTTAACTAACGAGCATCGTGTGGGTGTTGACAGGTATAAGACACATACAGATGCTCTACAGACTTCAAGAACGATTCACAAGAATCACCTTCATCAAGATCACAGCACGCAACACACAGCCATTTAGAAACATTAGAGAAATGTTACTTTCAAGAAATGCAGAAACACACACACCGTGCGACAGTAACACCGTGTCTACACCGGATGCAATCAACTAGACACATCCCTTTAGATCAAGTGAACTGTCTGCGCTGGAGCGATGTGATATGACTTTAGTTCAGCTAGTCTTTATTTTCAGTGTTAACACGATCATGGAAACCTGTAACACTGATTTTCAAGCCTGCTAAATTATTTAATTTTAATTAACTAATTTTTTTAAATAATTCGTATTTTATCTTATTACCTTTTATTTCCAACAAAAATCCATTGGTAAAAATTTCAAGTAATTGCTTAAAGCTATTTAGATGTGTAACTTGTAACAGTAATTTATGATCATTTTGATAAAAAAAAATATTTTAGAGTTGAAAAAAGATTTTTATCAAACACTTATTAAAATGATTTTAAATACCATTGAAAAATATTTGCAATTTATTAGTCCAACTGTGTGGAAAGCCTGTATTTTCTACTTGTCTTAAATAAAAATGTTTTATTAACAATATCAAATATGTTTATATTTTTGCTATAAATTTCATTCATTCATTGTGGATTTAAATAACTTTTGCCAGTTACTTTTTACTTGAAATAAAATAACCTAAGTAAAGTCCATAACTTTTATTTTGGTTGAAAAAAAAAAAGTTATGATAGTAAAAAAAAAGTTACATTAAATTAGAAATCATGTAAAATTACATGAAAAATAAATTAAATTAAAATGATCAAAGAACATAAAAAATATGAAAAAAAAAATACAAATAAAGAAAAACTTGAATGGATTAAAAAATAAAAATGGATTTTTAAATATTTCAAATTGATTATAAGTTCCTGGAAACATCACTGAAAAATATTTGTAAAAAGTAGGAAGCCTGTATTTTCCATTTCTGTCTTCAATACAATGATTTTATTAACAATATCAAATATGCTTATATTCTTGCTATGAACTTCATTCATTCATTCATTCATTCATTCATTCAAGTATTTAAATAAGTTTTGGCAGTTACTTGAAATAAAAAAATAAAACCTATGTAAAATAAACTTTTACAAATATTTTTTTGCTGAAAGTAAAAGTTTGAAAAAAAAAAAGGCTAAGAAACTAAAAGCAAAATATTAAAGTAAAGTGAAATAAAGTAAAATATTTACAATTTAATTAAAATTAAATAAAAACTATGGGAAAAATATTTTATTTATTTATTTTACTATTGGATTCTTGTTGAAATTAATAGAATTTTACATTCAATAGATTTCTTTAATTTTACCTTTAGCCTAAAACCCCTCAAACCTACACGCGACTGGTCTGTGGTTAGTGAGCATCTTAATTTGATCAACGCTTCCAGTGTAGACAGACTCAGTTTGAAGCGGGGTGACTCGATGTCGATCGCCTCCAGTGTAGACGTGATGAAAGTGCGAAAACAGATTGGAGAGAAAGCTAAAGTGTTTGGCAGTGCAAAAAAACTGCAGAATTAAAGCAGTCACTAGTTCAGTGTGTATATATATATATATATATAATTATATATATTAAGGACAATTATACAAAAAAAGTACTTACATAATTTTCAGTCTACCTTACCTTCTTTAAGAGCAACATACCGGTTGTGGTCAAAGTATTTACACAGTAAGACAAAAGCATGTGCTTGTACAGTACAGTACAGTTGGCACTGGAATCCACACACGTTCACTCAGCAGTGGGATCCAGTAGCTGTATAGTTGGACATCTCTCGGCGTATAGTGCTGAACGGCGACAGCTCCAGTTCTGTCGTGCACTCGTGCTCGTTGTCGTCGCTGGCTGTGGCCGAAGAGTGGGCTGCGATCCCACACGCGTCTGCACAACAGCAGCAGCAACACTCCAGAAAGGCACGGCCGAAGGGTCTGCAGAGGCACAGCAGCAGCACCGGCGTAACGGCCGCGCGCAGGAACAGCAGCAGCTGACTGAGCAGATGCAACAGCGCCATGGTGCTCTGCGGGACCCCGGCCGCCATGTACGCCGAAACCATGTTGCACACATTATCGGGAACCACGCATGCCCCGTATACGATCGCCAGTGCGACCACGGTGCAGTTCATTTGGCTTTCCAATTGGATTTGCTTCTTGTTGCCTCTGGCGCAGCCGCGTTCGGCACGACGGATGCGCCGGGCGGTCGCCACCGAGCTGCCGATGGTGAAGAGTGTCGGCAGGCAGAAGTAGCAACCGAAGCACCACCAGAGACGAGCACCTTCGTAGGTCAGGCCCAGGACGTACAGCGTGTCGGGGAGGGAAGTGGAGATGCGAATCAGGCAGCGTTCAGACGCCGGGTCGTCTAGCGTGCCGTCGCCGTTTTCAGACACCAGCTGGCGGATCAGGAGCTCGGGGAGGGCGAGGAGTAAGGCGCCGATCCAGATGACGGCCAGCTTGGCGGCGGTGGAGGTGCAGTTCTCGATCATCTCGTAGTACATCTGGACGTTGGTCGCGGCACGGAAACGGTCAATGCAGAGCGCACAGAGGGTGAAGGTGGTCACGCCGAGAGACGCCACCTGGAAAAATAAAAACACAAAACACAGTTTCAATAAAAAAAATTAAATAATAATAATTTAAAAGTTTCACTAAAAACAAACAAGAAAAAAGGTCATAAAAAGGATAGGAAAAATACTGATACTTCACTACCAAGCTGATGCTGAACAAAATTATAAAAATAAATTAAAAATATGGAAAAAACTGTAAAGATATGTGAAAACTGATTTTCAGGCCTGGAAAATCTGGCCTGGAAAATTTGGAAAAAAACATGAATATAATTTTTTAAATATAATTTTATATAATTTTATATTTCTATTTATGTACTTAAATTTTTAATTTAACTGAAATTTTTTTTAATCAAAATTACTGTGTTTATATATATATATATTTATATATATATTTGCCAGCTGTCAAAATGTTGTTATAATGACAACCCTGTTTGCCATATCTATGAGAACTGTGTTATTTGTCAGTAGGAGTCTAGTGTAAATGCTGTAAGGCCAGTGGCGTAAACAAACCTCTTGACCAGAAAGTCTGAATTACATCTCGCTGAACCCAATCCTATAGCTGGAAACACTCTCCTAATAATCATTCAGCACATAGCAGCAGAAGAGAGAAGAGAGAAGAGAAACAAACAGCTCTCATTTTTACAGACTTTATCTGCTGCGTTATCATGACAGTCAACCTCCTGCGAACACTGCGAAACGGGACATTTTGCGTGACTATTGCGACAATAAATGGGGTGATATGAAAGAGTATTTGCAGAGTCGACACAAAAGAAACTGCAATGAATGGGAGACAACTGGAGAGCTTCTTGGCCACGTTTGAGCAGCTGCATCCCAGAGGATGATACAAACCCAAATGAAAGAGCCAACTAAGTATTTGTCTTCATTATCATAATTACAGAGCAATCAGGCACATCAGCATCAAGGAGGAGACAACTAGCGGAACGACGCTCGTGCAAAACATGAATATAATTTTTTAAATATAATTTTATATAATTTTATATTTCTATTTATGTACTTAAATTTTTAATTTAACTGAAATTTTTTTTAATCAAAATTACTGTGTTTATATATATATATATTTATATATATATTTGCAATTCATTCATCAAAAGGTGTGGGAATCCTGTATTTTCCACTTCTGTATGAAAAAAAATATTTTAATAAGAATATCAAATGTGTTCATCAAATTCATTATGTATTTAAATAACTTTAAGTAATTTTGGCAGTTACTTAAAATAAACTATATGAAGTACATTTTTACTTTTTTTGTTGAAAAAAATATGAACATAAAAAAGAATAATTAAATAAACGAAATAATAAAAACTTTAATAAAATAATTTTTTTTATAGATTGTTTATAATAATTTATTTATGGATTTTGTTATTTACATATAAACAATCCAAAATCCAATGAATGCAAAATACTAATATTTTTGACAAAAATGTAATTCCAAAAAGTAAATTATGAAATAAAATGGCATTTGTTACAATGAATTATATATATATATATATATATATAAGACAACTGGAGAGCTTCTTGGCCACGTTTGAGCAGCTGCATCCCAGAGGATGATACAAACCCAAATGAAAGAGCCAACTAAGTATTTGTCTTCATTATCATAATTACAGAGCAATCAGGCACATCAGCATCAAGGAGGAGACAACTAGCGGAACGACGCTCGTGCTGTTGTGCATTGCTGGCTTAATAAAAACTAACCCACCTCTTTCATCTCCAAAAACAGATTGGTGAGATCCTTCATCATTTTGACAAAAAGCAGACTGTTCAGAATCCATTATGGACCATTGTGTCCATTAAGATGCTGTAATGGCGCTATATAACTTCCATAGATGTGAAATGCATCCATCCTGCCCCATTAGACGCTCAGCACGTTGAATGATCATCGGTTTACTGCGTGGGATTGTGGGATGGGAATATTCTCGCAGGACGAGCAGGTCAGGAAAATGATGCTTCGGACTTCAAACTACTGCTGGGCTCCTCATGCGTTTTATGTGCCCATAAAGTTTCCGAAAGACTGTCAAGAAACTAGTTTTGATCCTCTCTTCGCAAAAGTTTGATTAATTTCTGTGAATCAGTTCATCATCAACTCTCTGGTAAGCGTGTTCACGAGAGAGTGGCGTTTCAGCGGATGACGTAGGCATAGCGTAAGCTCCAGTGAGAAGTGACGAACACGGAAGCGCAGAGGAGAGAGCAAACCAAAACACTGGTCACAAATTAGAAGTACAGAATGAAGATTTGTAAAGCAAAAATGTCACAGGATTTCGATATAAGCCAAGAGGAGACTGGTTTTCCTTTGCTGTAATCAAAACTTGGTTCTCACGAGACTAGCATACATGCATTCTCACCGGAGCTTATGCTACGCCTACATCCTCCATCATCCTCTGATTGTAAATGCTCTCTTGTGAACGCATGTACGACAGTTAGCAGAAGCTATAGATTACTGTTTATAAAGTTTTGAATACGGATATTTTTCTTACACAAACGCATCGTTTCGCTTCAGAAGGCCTTTATTAACCCCACGGAGCCGTGTGGACTACTTTTATGATGGATGGACGCACTTTTTTGGGCCATTCATTCACTGTCATTATAAAGCTTGGAAGAGCCAGGACATTTTTTAATATAACTCCGACTGTATTTGTCTGAAAGAAGAAAGTCATGTTCACCTAGGATGGCTTGAGGGTGAGTAAATCATGGGGTCATTTTCATTTTTGGGTAAACTATACCTTTAACTTTTAACTTGACAAACTTTTTTTTCACTAGATTTCTTACTGTATTTTGCTTCTTGCATCAAAAAAAAGATAGCTGTTTAGTTGAAATGTTTCTTCTGACAGAAAAAAGGATTTGTACATTGTGATATGTACATTTTCTGAAGAAAATGTGAGTGAATAATATTCAATAATGAATATTATATATATATATATATATATATACAATTTTATAAAGTCTTTTTTTACTAGACTTTTTAAAAATATTTTTTATATTTAATATTAACATATAATAAAAATACATTATAAATATCTTCATAAATATCTTCAAAATGTGGTCAAATATTGTCTTTTTACAGGCTTTATCTGTACAAAACAAAAGGAATCTGAAATGGTGTAATGAAGCATATATATATAAGAATTATCACAAATGTTGACAGGTAGAAAACTTCTGAATGTTTAGAAAGACAAAGGGAGAAAAGTCTGCAAGCAAAGGAACATGGAGTCAAGATCATGGCTGCATGATTCATGTGGTTTGAAGCTGACTTTCGGCCTTCCTTTCACAGTAATCAAATCTAAGGTCTCTCTGGTCTCCACACACCTCACATTCTGGCAAACAGTCCAGACCATGACCCACCTCTCTCTCAGTCTGATCTGACATTCACATGCGTTTGGAGGCATTTTCTAGCTTACAGGTTTCCTAGCAGCAGGTGATGATGGCGTTGGCTGCAATGGTCTTTACTAACGCCTCATTAATTCTCTGATTAAGAAGCTCTTCAGAACGATGGAGGTGCTGGTTATTAATCTGGTTTAACGGCTGCTTTTAGACTGGGTGACTGCAGGCCATTGTTGGGCTACCGGCCAGCAGGGAAGGCAATAATTCTTATTTATTGACAAATGAGATGCACTGAGGCATGAGCGAGCTAGAAGCAAAAGCTATTACAGTAATATTGTTATATATGATGACCACAGAATGAAACAAATACATATTCAGCTATATAAATTCAGACCATTAGAAGGGGTTAACAGCCTGGATCAAAAACATAAACACAAAGTGACTTAATAATAGAATAGAAAGCCAACAAAAACAAGCCAAACAATAAAATGAAATAAAAATACAGCGACCCTAGGACAAGCGGTTTAGAGAAAGGATAAAATAAAATAACAACATAAAATAAAAAAAATCCAGTTACCATACATAAGACAAGTGGTTTGGAAAATAAAATAAAAATATATATATCTAAATAAATAAATAAAAAATGAAATAAAATTTTTTTAGAGCAGTTTAGAGAATGGATGGGGAAAAAATAAAATCAAATTAAATCAAATTAAATTTCTGGAAATAATTTAAGTGGTGTTTACTTGATCAAAATTCACCATCACGATGCTAAGGTTGTTATTCAGTTCCTAAAGTGTTATGAGTGTTTTTAATATGTTGCTATGACGATGCTAGAAGGCCAAAAGCCGTCAGATATGCCTCTGCAGCATGTTTGCTCAAACGAAACAAGGCCTTCGTGCAAATGTCTGTGCTGTGACTGATGCAATCTCCAAAAAGCTAAAGGCCAGTCAAAACACAAGTCAAGTTAAAACACTGCACCGACACGCTGCCCTCAGATTTGCTTGAGCTACCGCACTGAGAAATGTCAGTCCTCTGATAAAACAAACCCAATGATCAGACAAGTTCAAGTGGCATTCGCTGAACTTGCCTGCAGTGGAGCAAAACTCCATAATATATTTCTCCACCCTTGAGCGGCAGCCCTCTGCAGGAGACAACAAGTGACGGGACGTCAAATGTGAAAAGTGACAGGTTTGAACAAAAGCCGCAACAAGACCCTCTCCCAGAATGCAGACTTCCAGCTCACAGCGATGGAGCCGGAGGCGTTTTCTCCCTGTGGAGCACTTTGAGTTTACTCACCACTTAGCTTGCATGCAGTCGCTGCCGATCAGCATTCATGCAGCCAGAGGGACGGGCACATGTACACATGCACAGTGACTTGTTTTCATTCAGCTTCACCATTGTCAGACCGAGCCTCCTGGCTCTCTCTGCCTGTCCCATACAATCACAGCAGGCACGCTGTGTGCCACCAGGCCTTTCCTCCAAAACCCAGTCTTAACACCCCCTTAACCCTCTCTGCCTGTTCCATACAATCACAGCAGGCACGCTGTGTGCCACCAGGCCTTTCCTCCAAAACCCAGTCTTAACACCCCCTTACACCTTTCACCTTCACAAAAGCAATCGCAATCTACATCTCTAAGGCAAACGGATGGGTGAATCTCACCAAAGCCTCTTCAAGGAAAGGCAGTTCAATCAGTGCCATCTTGGTAACGCCCCTGGGCAGCTATTTTCTTTGTATACAAGCACAGCTCCTATCTGCTTGAATAGAGGAAGGCTGAAGTCTACAATCTCAGAAAACAGGTACAAAAGCTGCCACTGGGCCAGTATCCTTTAAAAAGGTACTAATATGTACCATTAAGATAATATGCACACTTAAGGTACTAATATGCATCTTTAAGGTACTTGAGGTACTAATATGCATCTTTAAGGTACTAACATGCACCTTTTAGGGGTAAATAAGGTACAAAGGTGCACCTTTTTAAAAGGTACCACCCCAGCGACAGCTTTTGTACCTTTATTTCCTGAGTGTATGAAACTGTTTGTCAAGATTGCATTACAATAGCAAGGGCAGCAATAAATGCAATACATTTGGTATTATTGCGCTTCTTTAACTAAGATTGGTGCCTCCATTGATGCCATATTGTGCATTACAATTTCATTTGTTGTGGTCTGACCTTAAATTCTCAAAAGAACAAAATAATAAATTATATTTTGTTAAAGTAAATGAAGCCAGTTTTGAGAAACGTTAAAGGGATAGTTCACCCAAAAATGAAAATGTGAGCACAGAAGATATTTTGAAGAATGTTGGTAACCAAAGAGTTGACGGTAGCCATTGATTTCCATAGTATTTTTTTCCATACTATGGAAGACAATGGGTACCGTTTAGTTACATATTCTTCAAAATATCTTCTTTTGTGTTCAATAGTAGAAACTTATACAGGTTTAGAACAACATGAGGGTAAGTAAATCATGACAATTTTCTTTTATTTTTTAGTGAACTATCCCTTTAAGATATTTTGCATTATAGCATTGTTTGCATGACAATTAAGCACATATTACATCCAAAATTTTTATTTATTATAATGTTAAAAAATATCACTCTCATTACTGTAATGTAAGATTCAATGACAGTAAAGGCAGTACTGCCTTTACATTAAATCAATGCATTAATAAATGAAAAAAAAAAAATGAAAAAAAGTATTACTGTACAAATTACTGTATTACTTTAACAAAATATCTGATGAGAAAAAACAAGAATAGGAATTACCAAAAAAATAAAATCACATAATTTTACTTAATGCATTTGATTTTGGGGTAAAATATGATCTGTATATGTTTATGTGAGGTTCACCAGGACAGGTTTCCAGTCAAAAAATGAGTCCACTATTATTTGACACTAAAGAAATGTGGTGTTTGGATGGTGTAAAGTGAGCTCTACTGAAACTGGGTGTGGTGAGGAGATCAGGATGAAGCGGGGTGCTGCAGATTTCATGTGAAATAAGCGGTTATGGTTGCACCATACAGTATGTGACGGTAGTGGGACAGAGATCAGAGCAGACTGTCAGTGCAGGTGTCCTGAGGGCAGGGTGGATGATCTTTTGCATGGGAGCACTGACGTCTCCCGAAACGAGACCGAATTACCCACAATGCCATGGTTTCAATACCTTACCCTCAAGAAAAGCAAACCTTATCACTACTAAACGTATACATGGAAAACTAGATCCTTACAATGTAAAAGAATGCAAAAGAATATATTTTGAAGAACACGTTGGTCAACATTGGAGCCTATTGACTTTCATTGTGCACTCGAAAAATATTTAGGCCTAAATTGAAGATTTTTAACTGAAAAAAAAAAAGGAATCGTTTTTGCAATAAACAGATTAATGCTTATTCTGCGCAATTTGAAAGAATGCATTTTGAAAATAGATGCAAATAGTTAATAATAAACCAAACCATGATTTTTTTTTTGAATGCTGAAATCTTTCTTGCTTCATTTATATATGACTGACATTTTTTTTACTGACATCTTTTTTTTACATTTTAACATTTTATGAGATTTGATTTTTTATTTTTATTTTATAAGATTTGAATTTTATTTGAAATTCAAATCTTAAATTTGGGCCTAAACTTTTTTTTGTGGACAATAAACACTGAGCCATTTTTATGAAGGTGATGAATTGACAACATTTTCATTTTTGGGTGAAAAATCCTTTCAAGTGCCAAAATGTAAAGGTTTACTCTAATTAAGCTTAAATGCCATTATTAAAAGCAATGATTTGCACCTATCTCACATAATCATATGTAAACAAACATTTAAAACCTGTTATGAATGAACATGGAATCCATTACCTCAATATAGGGTATGACTTTACAGGTGAACTGGCCCAACAGCCAGGTCTTAGTGAGTTCGTGAAACACCACGAGTGGCAGGCAAAACAAGAGCAGTGCAAAGTCCCAAATGGCCAGGTTGGCCAGAAGAGCATTTGAGATGCTCCTCATGTAGTAGTTATGACACACCACACACATTATTGCTATGTTCCCAATTATTCCAACAGCAAAAATGAGGACGGCAAAAATGGTGATTGCATACGCCCCATACGTCTCGCTAGTGACAGGGTAGAAAGGATTGGGGAAGAATTCGCTCTCCTCATCCTCGGCGTATGGAGGTGTCATTGGCGTGGCGTCCCATGGGTCGTCTATCTGTTTGGTGTGGAACTCAGCATATCTGGTGAGGTCGAATGGGAAATCTGTGGAGGTGAGAGCTAGAGGCTTAGGCATTGGTTCCCACATCGATAAAGAGGATGTCAGGGCGTTATAATAAGTTTCGACTGGTGTCAATGGGACAGCGCTTTTATTCTGGCCCCTTTTCAAGCTCTTAAACACTTTCTTGTGGTGTTCCTTTGTGCCTCTTTTGCGTCTGTGGTTTCTTCCTCGCTTGCTTGTTGAATACGGCTTAAAGTTATTGTGTCCACTTACTGTTCCCATGGTAGCAGGCATCTCAGCATTCAACTTTTTCCTTTTATGTCGTCGTAAGCGCTTATGCAGGTTTGTGCCACTCTCCGTGACTGTGTGTGTTCTGTTCAACAAGAGATGTCTGTATCCATACCGCTTACCTCCACTCTCCAAAAGCAGCCAGAGATGTGAAGTCAAGTTGCTGTTGTCTTCTGAAGTCTGTTTGATGTTAAAGGCAGGTGTACCTGCGGCTCGATGCCTCGCAGGGTGTGTGGCACTGGGTTTGGCATCACGAAGGCTCCTAAGAGTGACTGGTTCTTTGGTGTGTGCATTACGGTTTTCTCCGTGCAACAAAACATGTGGACATCCTGCAATGAAAAAGATCGTTCTTAAAAGCAGCAGCATCTGCATCTGCATCTTCACTGCTTCAGTGTGCTGAAGATGTTAGAAAAACACTCTAATGTGGTGCATTGCAAAGAACACACACTATTTTCCCAGATTCACATCAAGGTAAAAGTTCACACGCGAATGATCAGTAAAGGTTAATTAGATCAATGGAAATGACTTTTCCTGTTCCATCAACTCCGGTGTTGTGCGGCAAATAAAAACCTCCTCCTTTATTCTTTGCGTTCCTCGTATTAGCAAAGTGCCAGAAAGACGATGTTTCCTCCAAACGACATTATTTCACCATAATTTGCGTTTCTGCTTCTGCATCCCAGCCAGCTGCAGGAGTCGGTCGTATCCCGTATTCTGTTGGGCGCGGCAACCTGGACTCGTCCTGCGCCTCTGCCGTGAGACGCGCTCCGTGGCGCGAGCGGCGAACGGGCGGGGAGCTGCTGCTACTGAAGCGGATGAAGAAAATGGACGGACTCTCTCCTGGCGAATAACCTTGTTCTGTCAAGCCGGATCCATCAGCATCAGCCCCTTGGACCACCGCAGCTGGAGGCGACCCCGCCCCACCCGTGCGTGGTACATTCATTACCATGCGTAATTACGCATGTCAACAGAATCATAATCCGATCAGTTTTGAGAGTAACATGGGTTTATACGAGTTAAATTACAGCCGCGTGTCACAGCAACATGCAGGAAAAGTCAAACTGCAAAATAATTCACAATGCACTGATATAACGAGACACATGCTACGATAATAAATCAGGGTGAAATATTACATTTATGGTTTTCATATAGTCTATTCGTTATATTCGCAGATTCTGCACATGCACTGTGCATGCAAACAATAACAATCCTTGTAAATAAGTGTATAAAATAAATAATGATTAATATATTAATTACAAGTTACTCCATTTTCTTAGTCTATGCATTATATCTGCAGACTCTAAACATGCAAACAATAATAAACAATATAAAACGTGAATCATGATATGTACAGATTGCACACTCGCAGGGTGTGTGGCACTGGGTTTTGCATCACGAAGGCTCCTAAGAGTAACTGGTTCTTTGGTGTGTGCATTACGGTTTTCTCCGTGCAACAAAACATGTGGACATCCTGCAATGAAAAAGATCGTTCTTAAAAGCAGCAGCATCTGCATCTGCATCTTCACTGCTTCAGTGTGCTGAAGATGTTAGAAAAACACTCTAATGTGGTGCATTGCAAAGAACACACACTATTTTCCCAGATTCACATCAAGGTAAAAGTTCACACGCGAATGATCAGTAAAGGTTAATTAGATCAATGGAAATGACTTTTCCTGTTCCATCAACTCCGGTGTTGTGCGGCAAATAAAAACCTCCTCCTTTATTCTTTGCGTTCCTCGTATTAGCAAAGTGCCAGAAAGACGATGTTTCCTCCAAACGACATTATTTCACCATAATTTGCGTTTCTGCTTCTGCATCCCAGCCAGCTGCAGGAGTCGGTCGTATCCCGTATTCTGTTGGGCGCGGCAACCTGGACTCGTCCTGCGCCTCTGCCGTGAGACGCGCTCCGTGGCGCGAGCGGCGAACGGGCGGGGAGCTGCTGCTACTGAAGCGGATGAAGAAAATGGACGGACTCTCTCCTGGCGAATAACCTTGTTCTGTCAAGCCGGATCCATCAGCATCAGCCCCTTGGACCACCGCAGCTGGAGGCGACCCCGCCCCACCCGTGCGTGGTACATTCATTACCATGCGTAATTACGCATGTCAACAGAATCATAATCCGATCAGTTTTGAGAGTAACATGGGTTTATACGAGTTAAATTACAGCCGCGTGTCACAGCAACATGCAGGAAAAGTCAAACTGCAAAATAATTCACAATGCACTGATATAACGAGACACATGCTACGATAATAAATCAGGGTGAAATATTACATTTATGGTTTTCATATAGTCTATTCGTTATATTCGCAGATTCTGCACATGCACTGTGCATGCAAACAATAACAATCCTTGTAAATAAGTGTATAAAATAAATAATGATTAATATATTAATTACAAGTTACTCCATTTTCTTAGTCTATGCATTATATCTGCAGACTCTAAACATGCAAACAATAATAAACAATATAAAACGTGAATCATGATATGTACAGATTGCACAAAATGTATAGTAAAAATAACATGGTAAATAGAAAAAGTTAATTTATAAATAAAAGATATCAATATGAATGCAATTAACACTGTTGGAATACATCTGTAAAAATACAGAGGCCTCAGATGTATTTGGACACCTCACTCACATGTTCATGCAGCATTTGAGCACAGGTGACACTTGCTGTGATCTTTGTAATGTTGTGCTATGACAATCAGACATCTACGTGTGCAACTAAAATGTCCAAATGCTTTTTGGGGCACTGCATCTGTTACTTTCATTTCTGAAAGCTCTTTAATGCATTGGTATGTCAAACAGGTTTCTCTGCCTGTGGCAATGTCACAACAAAGCAAAGTACTCTGAGCGGAAAGGCAAGAGCTGACTTGTTAAGGTTTGTTTCCTGCTGGACAGAAACTTGGGCTCAGAGGCGTACATTCGCAAACAGCCAACAGCCTTTCACTGCCTTGCAAAACATCAGTGACTATGTGGAAATGCTCCTTTATTTAGCTCAGACATGCTTTAGTTTCTTTGTTCTGCTAGGTCCAAAGTCCTGCTGGTCAATGAAAGCATGGCTGAATAGTAAATGAATGAAAGCCTTGGCTAGTAGTGATACTCTGTTGCCAAATCTAAGCATGGGGTTTAAAACATGAAATAACTGTGAGATACTTGACAAGAACAAAAAGCTGACTGAAATGTTTTGTGAATGGAATGAATGGAATCAACGCAATGATTTGTGCAACATGATGAACAAGACGTTCGAGATTATTTCATTTGTGAATTGTAATCCTTATTTATCTTAAAATATCGACTAAAGCATTTTCTCCATTTATTTGCGTCCTCTTCTTTTGATGAAATATCTGCAATGAATTTCTTTTCCTAATCAGAAAGGCCTATATTTGTCTTGTTTTCTAGAAAGAAGACTCGCATGCAAAGCAAAGCTGCATTGTAAAAAACTGATCAAAAAACACATCTTGAATTTAAACATATTAGGCCACGTCCAAATGCTAATTTAATGTTGATTCAAGCATACATTTTCACCAAATTTAGATAAAAACTAAAGAACAAAATACAATTTCATTCAAGATTCGTTTTCTGAAATAAGTTCTTATATGTTATGCAATTTGGTGTTTGGAATGCATGTTTGGATTATTATGAAAAAAACAAGACAAACAGACTGATTTTGAATGATTTTTTGTTATATGTTAACAATGCTTGTTTTTATGAGGGTGATTTAACTGTCCAAATCTAATGACATGACAGACTCAAAAAGCATCAAACAGCTGTTCATTTCACTAAGCAACTGGGTGGGTAATTTGAGTGGGACAGATTTTGCGGCAATCTACAGCGCCACCTGGCGGTGGAAATCGGTACAGCGTAAACACGAAAAATATAGCGAAAAATACAGCGTGAATGCTCCCCCTTGGCGCCGGCCCTGGAACAGACAGACACATATTCACCCTAAAAACAGTCTTATAGAGTGCAAGACAGGTGTACTGCATGTCTAGTACAATGTGAACCTACGTACTACAGTGTTTATGGTACTGAAGTGTGACTCTCTTAGGGAATGACGCCCGAATAACCCAGCAACAGTGAATTACTGTGATCAATCACCTGCTGTCCACGAGCGAGAGATGATGAATGACCCATATCTCCGAACAAGAACCAGAAATATCTCACCGCTACTGTAGGTGCACAATATCACAGATAAGGGTTGGCATCAATCAATCAATCAATCAATCAATCAATCTCTGTCATCATTTACACTCCCTCATGTCGCTCTAAACCTTTATGACTTTTTCTTCTGTTCTGTCGAACAGAGAAATCTAGCAAAATGTCCAGGGTTCTGTTTTCCATATTTGAAAAGACTGATGGTGAAAAACGAATTTTTGAATTAAATAAGTTCCTCACCACGGCCTAATACTCATAACAGCATCACAATACCAGCAGCCTAAACCTGAGGCCACATGACCACTCATATTGGGTCAGTAGAGGTCTGAGTAAAAGCCATTCAATTCTGCACACAATAGGACAGAAACATTGTATCACTTAGAAAAGTGGGTTGATGACAGCAGTTAGTGGTGAGTGCAGTGGAGAGCGAATGGAAGAGGATGGTCAGTAATGGTCTCTCAGATTGCTCTGGATGACTCCGACACACTCAGATCCTCCTTTCTGCGAATGCACCGACTGAACCGTGCAATAAATGTGTCTCTGCAAGAAAAACAATATCACAAAGCAGCAATGGAATCTTTTAAGTACCAAAAAAATCAATTACAATAAATGAAAAACAAAATGCTAGTATAAAAGTACTGTCACAATGTTAGGGTATTGTGGGTGTTTTAAAGCAGTTTCTAAGGTATAAAGGGTGCTTTTTAGCACTAAGTATTTGCTAGGGTGTTCTAGATGGCTGTCATTGATGGTTCCATGAAGAACCTTTAACATTTCCATTGATCCAAAGTTTCTTTATAGTAGAAAAAAGTTCTTTAGATTATAAAAAGTTCTTGACTCTGAGAAAACAGTTCTTTTAAGAACTGTTCACTTAAAGGTCCTTTGGGGAAATGGTTCTTCTTTGACAATGTTGCAAAACCCACCTTTTGACCTCAATTTTCAATAGTGCAGAGAACTATATACTCTCGATTACTTTATGCAAGTAATCATACAGTATACAATAACCACTATCTAGCAAACCAGTGACATTCAGAAGAGCTTTAAAATGCATCTTTATATAGTCGACTGCATAATAGACCTCTTAGACTGCTGAAAAATACAATACATGTAAGGTTTGTGCCACAGTGCAGCAGTGGCAAAAACTCAAGAAACATGTGCTGGTGAAAAGGTACATCGGGATCTATCTGTCAGAGAAAAACCATAATTGCAAACCCTTCGCTTCCTGACATGCACACACTTCTGTGTTTAACCCAGCTGTCTGTTCTCCACGGCTTCCTCAAGGGCAATTCCTTTCGTATCTGACACACTCGCACATATTGACAACTGACAAAAGGAAAGAGAAACACACTTCCATTTATTCACATACACATACAACCTCGTTCCAAAAGCCATTTGGAGTGCAGCCGAGAACCTAGTACCGGATGACAGGAAAAAAAGTGCTATTGGTTTTCATTCAACCAGCTGATTGCTAAAACAAAACAAACAAAAAAATCTTATGCTAAAAATCCCACAACCTAAAGATCAGGCCTCAAACCTGTTTAAGATATCGTACGGCTTCCGATGAACTAGTTTTATAATTCTTTTGTTTGTTGTTTATGAAGTTTGACAGCCTCGTTACCATTCACTTCCTTGGAAAAGAGCAGGACATTCTGCCTAATATCTCTCTCTTTTTTTTTTTGTTAAAGTAAGTCATGCGGGTCTGAAGTAAAGGATGACTGAATTTTCACATATATTGAGCCTGGTACTATATAAATGTGTAAGCTACCAATATGCTTTTACATGAAGATGACTG